TCGTGCCTTTGCCCACTGCGGCAGCCCCGGGGCCCCCTTCGGGCTGCAGGCGACCTTCGGGCTGCGAGCCTCGAGGGTGGCCGCCCCGCTGCCCGGGAGCCCCGGGCTGTGGGCTGGGAGTGAGCTGTCTACGAGGGAGGATGCACTTCCTGCTTTACTCCGACCGCCCTCCGACAGCCCCAAGTCCGAGGATTCGCTTTCTTTGCAGGCGTCGAGCGTAGTGGTCGGCGTAAGGGAAGGGGCACCGAATTTGGAGTCTGGTGTCCTGGGAGGAGGCCCTGCTGTTGGCAGGACCTGAGATCGTTTGTAGACCGTTCACCGCAGCCTCGATTGCCCTGTCTGAAAAATGGAGATAGCAGTCTTGGCCCTAGCCCGCTTTCCAGGGTAGATGTGGGGTTCAGCCCGAGTGATAGACGCAGCGGGAGCTTTGCCCTGTGAAGCAGGGTTGGAGTACAGCCTTACCACCCTCCCGCCGCCAGTCCAGGTCAGTTGTATTTTAAGACTGTTCGTGTCTTCGAAGACTAGTGAGTTAACGAGTAGGAGGAAAGTGTCTCCGGAAGCCAAGGTGGACTGCATTACCGCTTGTCAGGTTCCTAGGGAAGAGGCATCCTTAGGGCCTTGCCACCTGTGGAGTGCATTTTAACCTTCATCTGGCTTTTCAGGCCCTCCAGCATTGAACCCTTCCCTCTCCCCAAGACGCAGAATTGTCCTGTTGCTCTGTTACAGCCCTTCTTCGTTCCTTGCTACACAGGCACACGCATCTCCCAAAGCACACATGTTCCTTAGTTAGTCTGCCAAACTAACGCCTCTCCCCGGAAAGGCTGGGGTCTCTTTTCTGTTACAGACACAACTTTATGGTAAACTTTGTTCTGCTTCTAACAGTCCTGCCAACCTGTGTGTGTAATCGGGTTACTGCCCGGTCCTGGGGTGTGGGAAAGGAGTGTGTGTGTGTGTGTGTGTGTGTGTGTGTGTGTCCTCACGGTAGAATTCAGAATGTAAGTAACCAGCTTTCATCCCAGTCTGTTCTCTTTTCCTGCAGTTTAGTTCTGAGACGCTTAAGTGGGTTGCTTATTGTCTTATTTACACACACACACACACACACACACATGTGAGAATATTTTATAATAAATTTTGAAAGGGTACAGAGGTGTAGTGATTAGTATTTTTAGCGTGTATTCTGAAATCATTGACTGAAAAGTACTTGACTATGATTCAAAAGCACAGCATAGCAGTATGTACACTAGTTCAGAGCCGAACAAATTGGAGTTCAAACCTTGGCGATGTGACTTACTATTTTTTTTTTTTTTGGAGAGGTTTTTGCTATAGGGCGCGTGCGCTCGCCCGAAAGAGACAGAGAGACAGAAAGCGAGAAATCACCCCCAGGGGTGATGGCCATGCTGCAATCCCTTCTCCATTCTCCTCTTGGGATCTTGGACACGCACACACATGTGCCCGTAACTTACTAGTTTTTGACTTTGGGCGGATTAGTTGACTTCTTTGAGCCTATTTACTATTGTAATTTCTAAAATGATGGTAATAACATTTACTTCACGAGGTCTGTAAGAATGAGATATGTCTATAAAAGGCGTAGTGTCTAGTGCCAGTAAGTTCTTGTAATTTTATTGCAATCGTAATTGATGACTATGCTGATAAAAAAAATGATAATGACTTTAGGCATTTCTGAGATTCCATTTATTTGTAAAATGAATTATCCATTATCAACAGACTTTAAAAAAATACTATAAACAGGAGTTCGAAGATTGCTTTTGTGTGTGTTTTGTTTTCTTTTAGATTTTTGCTGTAGCGTGCATGCACTCACCAGAGAGACAGAAAGACTTGAAAAGTGAGAAATTACTCCCTGAAGGGACAGCCATGCCACTGTCCTTTTTTCTTCTTTCCTCCTTCCTGTTAGGATTTTGAGTTTGTGCGCACACACGTGCCTATCCTTTTTTTTCTTTCTTTCTTTCTTTTTTTTTTTTTTTTTTTTTTGAGAGGTTGTTGCTATAGGGCGCGTGCGCTCACCAGAAAGACAGAGACAGAAAGAAAGTGAGAAATCACCCCCCATGGGTCTTCCATTCTCTCGGGATCTTGTGCACACACGCACACGTACCCAGCGTGAGTTTAAGCCACCGGTCCGGGACTCGAACCTTGGTCAAATACATGGGAGTCAAGCAGCATAGCCATTACACCAACTGCTGGTCCCCCTATCCTGTTTTTAAAGCTGCTGGGGCCAGGATTAAAACCACAGACTACCATATAGTTTCCAGTTCCTTCCTTTGATGAGCTATAGGGCTGGTCCTAGCAGTTGCATTTTCTTTTTTTTCTTGAGAGAGGTTTTTCACTATAGGGCGTGTGCGCTCGCCAGACAGAGACAGAGAGACAGAAAGCAAGAAATCACCCCTCAGAGGGGATGGCCATGCCGCAATCCCTTCTCCTCCGTTCTCCTCTCGGGATCTTGGGCATGCAATCGGGATCTTGGGCATGCAAGCACGCGTGGCCCGGCGTGGGTTTTAAGCCACCGGGTCTGGGACACGAACCGCGGTCGACTACGTGAGAGTCGAGCGACATAGCCATTACACTAACTGCTGGTTCCCCTAGCAGTTGCATTTTATATAAAAATTATATTAGGCCTTTTTCATGTTTAGAGGTCCCTAAAATGCTGTTTATGAAAAGGTTGTTGAGACCAGCCGACGGCATAGTGGACTCCCGCATGATCCAACGTGTTCCAGACCCAAGACTTGAAATATCATGCCCCACACCCAGGATCCCAGGAGGAGAATGGAGGAAAAGAGTTTGTGGGTGGCTATATCCCCCTTAGGGGGTGATTTCTCACTTTCCTTCTTGGGGCCTGCAGGTGACGTGGTGGTTAAGGGCGTTGTACTCCCTCATGGTGGACTGTGGTTCGAGTCCCTCTTAACTGTGTCTTATTTCTCCTGCCAGTGCATGCACCCTTAGGTTTTTAAAAAAAAAAAAAAAGAAAAAAGTGAAAAGGTGTTGGGATATACAGTTTTTATTGTTCTGGAGGTTCTAAATGTTGCTTTGTATCTAGTTTATAGAAATCAGAGTGATACTTTATAAGCTATAGTAAAAATGTATTTTGATGTACATTGTAGTTTGTGGTGGGACAGTGATCTATTTTGGATTGAGTTTCATAGAGGATTTTTTGTCTTCTTGCTTCTTTGTTAAGCTAGACTACTTGACTTTTAAAATTTCAGTCTGGTGGATGGGGTCCAGGAGACATGGTGACTTCACTTTTAAAAGGTGGAAAATCTTAGCGATTGATGCTCATGATGACATTGGAGAGTATGTGTCTGCAAGGAGTGAAAGTTTAGAGAAACCTGGGAGTGGGACCAGCAGTTGGCACCCTATAGCAAAAACCTCTCCAAAAAAAAAAGAAAAACCTTATAGAGAAAAAATGTTTTGTTGGTTAAGGCAAAGTCTTAGGGTTAAGTATTAAAAAATGGAGGCCAGTACTTGGCATTGTGGTTACAGTGCTGGACTCCCACGTGGCCAGCCGCCATTCAAGTCGCAGACCACTCAAAAATCACGCCGTGTGCATGTGTGCCCAAGAGAGGAGGGCATCAGCGTGGCATCCTTTTGGGTGTGATTTCTCACTTTGCTTCTCACTGTCTCTCTCTCTGCATGCACCCTTGTACAAAAACCTTAAAAAAAAAAAAGAATTAAAAAATGTATTTTTACTTCCTTCAGGTGCCATGTTGACCACTGATGTTTGCAGATTCAAATGTTTTGAAAACGTTTCCTTGATTCTCTTTTTCTGTGTGGTAGCCCCAGCTATACTTTGGCAGCTTCATCCTTCCCTTTAGTTATGAATCATCAAGGCAACTGTTTCTTCATAACACATTTGTGTACAAAGCTATGACGGTAATAGTCAAGCCCATTAAAATTTACTTTTTTCCCCTTAAACAAGAAGTTTTTTTAAACAAGACACTTGATTTGAAGGAAAAACTATCTAGGATTCCTTTTTTATTTTTTCATTGGGAGTAATTTACCCCTACTTAAAGAGAGATCGCCCTACATGTAACAGCTATATCCAAAAAGTTATCAAATTGTCCTTGGTTTTACAATGATAAATGAAAAACATTAAAATTCTCCAGTCAAACAAGTTATGCAAGGATTTTTATTTTCTTTTTCTTTTTTTTTATGTTAAAACAGAGCAAAATAACTTAGTGGAATATAGAGATGGGAGCTGAATGAGTATGCTACTAATTGATAAAGGGGATATTTTCTCAGAATCGGTATTTTTTTCCCCATTCCATCTCCATTTGATGTCAGTCAAAACATACCATTGACCATTTAGTTAAAAAAAAAGTGATATGCTTGTGCACGTACACCAGTTACTTTATGTACAGTAAAGGGATGGGGAAGGGAAATGAAAGAATAGAGAAAACTCCACTGTAGTAGTCAGGATGTGGGGAAACCAGTAGTGGTTTTGTAATGGAGAATGTGTTCTTGGCCTGAAAGAGCAGAGTTCTGGAGTAAAGTAGCAGGTGCCCTTTGTAGACGCTTCCTGTCTGCTGTTGGAACACCTCAGTCTTATCTTCTCCCTCCCCTTCAGCTGTGCAGGTATCTGTTTTGTTGATCAGCTGCCCATCAAATCGGAATCTGATCTGCCTCCTTGACAAACCCTGCCATTCACAATAGGCTTTCATCAGTTTACTAAGTGGCATATGCCTCTTTTAAAAAAAAAATTATCTTTTTTTATTATTATTAATTATTAGTGTTTTCCAGTTTGATCAGACAGAGAGAGAGAAGGGAAAAGTGAGAAAGCAAGCCACCAGGTTTAGGACTCAAGCCACGGTTGGCCATGTGAGGGAGTTCAGTACCTCCAGCCACCATGCCACTTCCTGGCCTGGATGTATGTCTCTTAATCTTAAACTGCACCACAGAACCATCCTGCCCCGCCACCTTCAAATTAATGTGATTGTCCTTCTCAGTCTTGACTCCTTCCTTGGGTGTTTTCTTGGCCGTGGCGAGCGCCAGAGTCTCCTTAGCTGCCGCTTCACAAAAAAGGTACCAGGTCCTCACTGTATGAGCCTAAAATTTACTTTGTATGCCATGTAATGTGTTATTTTTTTTCCTTTATGTTTTAAGCACTTTTGTTCCTTAGCTTTTTATTTTTATTTATTTATTTTTATTACTTAAAAGGAATTTTTGGAGGGTACACTTAATTCTCAGCTATAGAAGCATGTAAGTGTAGACACTTTGTAGTGACTTTGTGAACAGCTCTAAATCAGATCATTTTGTTGATTGTACTTTGTCCTTGAGCCATGCTCTGGAGAGGCAGTATCATGGAAATAACCTAAGCTTCGGAGTCAGACCTAGATCTAAATCCAGGTTCTGTTGGTTCTCAGAATCATTCTATAGTAAATTCAGACTTTCCATGATCTATAAAGTAGGGATAGTAATACTAACTACATGGCTGAAAAGATTAAATGTTATCTCAACTAGGTACATTCCTAGCCA